AAAAAGTAGAAAATAACTATTTACATACATTTGATGACAAAAAACGTGGGTCGGGCAGATGGGTCGGGAAATTTGATGGTGAACGTACCCACGTTTTTTGTCATCAAATGTATGTAAATAGTTATTTTCTACTTTTTAGTCCACAAGAAAAACGTGGTTTTTTAAAAAGTTTTTTTTAAGTATTTTATTTCCTTTTTGGTTGAACCAGAGACGTAGCGACCCCTCCCGGAGACAAACTTTCAATTTGGCGTCTTCCCCCCCCCCCTCCCCATTTATATTTTATATTTATAATTCAAAATAGCAGCTACAATGAGCTTATTTTGGCGCCCCTAGGGTCTGCGTCGGGGACATATGTACCCCCCCCCCCCCCGTCGCTACGCCTCTGGGTTGGACTAGTGCTCTTCATCTCTGTAGACATATGTTCCTTCGTTGTTTGAGTCTTGTCTACAATAAACTTCGGTGTTTGAGTCTTGTCTACAATACACTTCGGTGTTTCAGTCTTGTCTACAATAAACTTCGTTGTTTGAGTCTTGTCTACAATAAACTTTGGTGTGTGCTGCATCGTTGTCTGAGTGCCAACTTTTGAGGTGCGCTTTAAACTGTTTCTTTGTTGTAAAGTGGGTGTCTGAAGCCTCACAATACGAGCACTTGTATCTAAATGACCTGTGGGTGTTTCGTTGCAAAATGTTTGAGCATGTTTGTATCTTGTAAGTTTGCATATGCGACAGTTTAGAGCGTCGAAGTGTTCCTTAACCATAAGGTTTGCCCGTGGTACGAAGAACAAACAAAAGCAGAGTAGACAATTGTTGAGTCGGTCTTCAGTCGGTGTTTTGGACGGGGTGGCGGCTACTGACTCGCTGTCTCCTACATTAACTTGAGCTGCTTTTGATATTTGCTCCGGTTCTTTCTTCCTTTTGGTTGTTGATGTCAGCAAGATTGTTTGTTGTTGTGAGATTTGAGGGTCGGATGTTTCTTTCTATGGTGTCGATATCTGTGTGATGACTGCATACATGCTTGTTACTGGCTGTTGTGCTGCGTCGCCATGTTGTGGCTGATTAATTTGTTTTGTTTTGTTTTGTTAGGTGAGAGTTCCCAGTCTATGTCTTAGCTTTGCTTGAAATATTCATTTTACCTCGATGTTAGTGCATTTTTTAAAATAAAATCTGAATTTATTCATATTTCCCCACATAGTCGATCTATAAACAGCCGTTTGCTACTAGTCTGTTTTCGTCTTCTGTTCTTTGTCTAGTAGTGTTAATTAGAATAATTAAGTTAAGTGTGCTTACTTTATTTCTTGTGGCTGTTTGATTGGTGGTTTTTAATATTTTCTCAAGTGTTTGCTTTGCTTTCTGTACTAATGTACAAGCAAATGAATGTGTTTCTCGGTTTCTTGTATATTTTGTTTGACGTTTGACAAGTTATTTTAACATTTTGATTTGACTTTGTATTTCGTAACACTGGTGTTGTATTAAAAATCAGTCTGTACGCTAATTCCCTTTCTTTTGGTGTAAAGAGTTTATTATGTAGGTTTCTAATATATATATATATATATATATATATATATATATATATATATATATATATATATATATTATATTGTGTTCCCTGGGCCAACTAATCCTGGTGTATAAGGTTGTCGCTTGTTGTTTGATTAGGATGTCGTATATTTTGTGTCTTCCCCAATAATGCTTTTGTTTCCTTGGAATGTTGCTAGCGTTTCTTTATAAAATGTCATGTAGCCGTATACTTCCATTTAATTTGTTTTTACAAGCTTTTATTTAACTCACTTCCTCGTCAGTCTGTCGTCAGTCTGTCGTCAGTCTGTCTAGACGGAAACGCAGGAGTGAAAATTCGGACAGTTCTACTTGACCGATACAATTCACAGTTGGCACGTGGGTCAAGACATGAAGACAATGCAATCTGAAACTAAATTTGACTTAATTGGATGCCTAATTGATTTTTAATGAATTAATTAAAATTTGGACCGAATTAGTAGGCATATCTAGCCAACCACACCACACGCGTCATCACCTTCAATAGCTGCGCCATCACGTAATGGCTGCGTTCAAAAACCATTGCGCGCCTACTGAACGTGATGTTCAGTAGGCGCGCAATGGTTTTTAGTCATGTAACTCTATTGTAAATAAAACATGTAAAGTACTGAAAAAAAATTCATAAAAAACGTTTTAATAACAAGCTTTTATGTAACAATGCATTAAAAAGTAGAAAATAAATTATAGACTACTATTTAAATAACTATAAAGAAAAGCGTGGGTGTCCTTAATATTAGTAAAGGTATCCAATAGATACTAAAGTGACCCACGCTTTTCTTTATAGTTATTTAAATAGTAGTCTATAATTTATTTTCTACTTTTTAGTGCATTGTTACATAAAAGCTTGTTATTAAAACGTTTTTTATGAATTTTTTGTATTAATGTTTTGTGGCTAATGTTTCTAATAGTGTTTTTGAAAATGAATTATCTAATTTGCTTGTTTGTTTGTTTAATAAACGAGTTGGGAATTGTAGAGTATGTCGCTGCGAAAATTATTTTTGGAATGATGTATCTGTTTACTAATGCAGATGTGGCAAAGATAGTTGTTTTGCAGTATTGGTATTTTTTCAGATTGAGAATTACTTTATTGTTAAGTATGGCCCAAGTTTCTTGGTCGTCTTTTGTGGGATCGCTGTTATAGGTTATTCCATGAGTTTGTCTGTTATTGTGTTGTAATTATCTTTACCTTTCCATATTTTTCCTTTCCGTTTAATTGAGTATTTTAAAATAAGCAGCAAAACAATTGAAGCGAATTCAATAATACAATTAAAGGCGTATCGTTTTTTTAAAGGATAATAATGTAATAAAACAACAGCTGTTTCGTTTTCGTATATAGTCACCTTGTTTATTAATGTTAAAAATAAAATACTCTATTTACTGAATTAAACAACCATCAATGTGTTTTGCTAATAAAAAAAAACATTAATAAACTTTGTATAAGCATTGTACTTCCCGAAGTATTAATTAATAAATTAATGAGAATACATTTCTATTTTTCCTTTAACAAAGTTGTCGTTTAATATGGGAGGTAATTAATTGCTCTTAGTAAGGCAATCATTGAAATAATTCGTTGTGTTGTCAGGAAAATATCGACACACTCAAGACAGTTTACCCATCTCAGATTGTTACATCATAAGGGTTAGATAGGGAGATATCTTATGGTCTTGTTCGCAGATATTTTGAGAAATCATTGACGTCCGTATCAGAAATTATTATGATTTTATTGTCTATATTTTTATTTTCATTTTGTAACAAACCCCGGCTTATTTACGAGTATATGTTACGAACGGTTTTTTAATAGAATTTTTCGGTTTCCCTATCAAAATATTGTTGATTTAAATTTGAATACTAAGTACAAAAATCTACATTAGTTTTTTTATTTCAGGGCCCCATTTTATTCAAGTCGCATGTTTACTTTTTTAAATGATTGTTATGATAGACCTATTATATTTTAAAAGCTTTAATGTGGTCAGTACTAGTTTCCTTATCGTGAGTCAGGTACCCATCAGAGCTGGGTGTACTCAGGGGCTTTCCAGTGACTTGTGACACCAAACAGGTCAATCTTCAAATCAATCACCGTCGATTCAAACAATGTCCGATCGGAGTTTTAAATAAATCTAAGTTGGTAAGTGTATCGGCGTCGGTGGTATAAAGGTCAGCATGGTTGCCTTCCAAGCAGTCGATCCGGGCTCGATTCCCTTCTGACGCATGCTATTTTTTATATTTTACTTTTTAAAAAAATCTATAATAGTTAATTTCAACTTTTAATGATGCTAAATTAATAAACTAATATCCGCATACCTCACTGTTGATACGTAGACCGAATGACCCAAACAAGCATTCCCTACAATTCACATAAAATTAAGTCACATGTCACATAGCAACTCCGTTCATTCTTTTACTCACCCCCCCCCCCTCCCACAGACATACACACCCGGCTTTAAAAGTGCCAGTTTTTGTTTTCTTATTAATTATTTAATCGATTTATTTCTGAAATATTGACGGTCTCAATGAGGTGTAAAACGATTTTAGCCCTTTTTACAAGACGTCTTCTGTACTTGAAACTGTGTATACGACAGGATTAGGAATGTTCAATCCATTTGAAAATACATCTTTGATCTATGCAAATAAAAAAATGTGCGTCAGCCGAGAATAAAACCCGCATCGCCTGCTTAGAAGTCAAACATACTGTTTAACATTAGTCTGGACTAAGGTGAACATTGGACATGGTCTAAGATAAAAAATGGCGGAGTTTCTTTTTTTTACCCCACTAATTCCTCAGTAACAGGGTGGGTGTGGGGGAGCGGGAGAGTGGGGGGGGGGGGTCACTGTTTCCAGTGGCACGCTGGAAGACAACTATTGTCTTTGGCAGACGACAAAAAAAAATGATTTTGACAGACAAGTGGTAAAAAGCTAAATAAAATCAGTCAAATATTTAAATAAACGATGTAAAATTAAAATTATCTGTAGGTTCAACAAAACGTTATTGTTTTCATGTATATTAACCAACATTTTAAAATTTCCTTTATAGCATTTGGGAATCAACATTTTATAAAAAATCAATGCGTTAGCCGGGAATCGAAACCGGATCGACTGCTTTGAAGGCAACCATGCTGACCTTTACACCACCGACATTCAAATGAGAGAAAATTTCTAATGCGTAAATTTGGGACTACAGCCTTCTTATGATGTGTTTGATCACCAAAATAAATGCTGTAACGGGAAATGGAAAATGACATATTTTAGCTACCTAAGATTTTATTAAAAAGAGTAAGTTTGTTTATTTTTTTATTTTCATTGCATACACAAATTTTGTTATTATAAAGGTTTTTATATTGGTTATTTATCTAGCAAGGTTAATAAACTGCATTGCGATTGCTTTGTTTGTTGAGGCTGTTTACTTTTTTTTTTTTTAACATATTTTTTTTTAATTTTTAAAAACAAATTTGATGACAACAAAAATTTACAAAAGAAAGCTCTCATACATGATCAAACAGATGAGGCTGTTTTATGTTAGATATATACACAATACAGCATGAAGGATGAAACATTTGAACCACACATGTTGAGATGATAATGAACCTTTATACAAATGAAGTCAGTGGTGAAATAGATAGACTGATCAGATTCTTTCTTGAGACTCTAACAGTACAACACTGTTACCACGAATGACCACCATGCCAATGTTTCTCTTTTCTCCTGATTTTGTTTCTTCAATAGCATCATCAACAACAAGATTCATAAAAGGGTCAAAGCCTCTGAGAGTACCTGTTACTTTTCTGTTACCATTCAGCTTCAATGTTAAAACCTTTTCCATATACTTTTTCAACTCTGGTGGATGAGCTTTACTCATTTTAGAACTTTTGGAATTTTAATGAGCGCCAACGAAATATCAGAAAAATAAGCTATTTTAGCAGAACCGGAAGTACACAAGATGTTTACTTAAAGATTAACAAAATAATAGCTAGCAAATAAATACAAATAGCATATCACTACTGAAGGCGCATCGTTTAATTTTAATCAATAAAAATGTAATAAAAAAACAGCGTTTCGGTTTTCTTATATGGTCACTTTGTTTTTTAAAGTTAGACGTAAAATACTCCTAACACTAATTAAACAACAAAACGTTGTTTTCTGTTAATAAAAAAATACTTAGACTAATAAACTTTATATAAACATTATATTTTCCGAAGTATTAATGAAAGAATTAACGAAAATAATTTTTAGTTTCCCTTTAGTATTTTAGTTACATTTTAACATGGGAGATAAAAAATTACTCCAAGTAAGACAATCATTGAAATTGAGTCTAGTAAATAATTGGCAAGTAATTAAGTAAATGTTTTCGATTAATACTATTTTGCCAAAAGACTGATCTGCGCTCCGTGAACTGATTAAACGCTTTTTTTGTATCGTCTGAAATTCTATTCTTTTCGATTTTAAGTAAAACTTTCTTTTTTCAAGATAAAATAATCAAACAAAAGTATGTGCATATGCAAAACATCTTATGCAAATAGTTTAATTAAAAAACTCTGGGATTAGATATTGTAAGGTAATGAATTCGAAAATAAGTTAGAATTTAAGTTAGAAGTTTAAATTTTGTTCACAAATGTAGGGGAGGATATAAATACTGTCCCGAGTTACGAAATATTTTTGCGGTTGTTCCCTTTTGACAGTAAATTTAAGGGGCATTCCAGGGCGAACGGCAAATTGTGATAATAAAAAGTTTGTTAATACAAATTTTATTGCAAAATCAAAACAAACTCCTCAAGTGAAGAGAAGTAAGGGGAAGCCACTTTACGTGTCTTGAGTCATGCAGAAGTCTTCCGTGGGTCTGCAACAATGGGTATGTTGACTGTATAGTTAAAATAAAACATTTTTGCTACATTATCCTCAGCGTTAAATTGTTTGTAAAGGATTTATTACAAAGACTAAAGACCCATACATTTGGTTTACTGAAATGGGTGTGAATTATTATAAACGAGCCGACCCGCGGCGTATCATACGCCGCTATTTAGTTGTTTTATTTTCTACTTTTCCGTAATTCATAATTTGTGAATTCGACAGTACCAACACTGCCACTGAAAATATTTGCTTTAAAAAACTATCAGTAGCTCGTTAAGGACGATACCCCCCCCCCCCCCTCCTTTCCCCAATCCACACCCCCGTGAAAGTAAAACTCCTCTTAGTTACCTCCCCTAAGTTTAAAATCGTTTCAAACTAAATTATCTGCCCCTAATAGCCGTCACTAAACCCCGCTAAACATTTAGCGTGAACCACAGCTCACCAGACCATGTAGGGGTGGGGGTGGTAGGGAGCGCGCTTACAGCTTGGTGTTTTCTATCGTCTCCAAGAAGATAATTATATATATAGAATTAAAGAAAATCAGTTTTTTTTACTTTTCTTTGCATACAAAAAGCTTTTTACTATAATAGTTTTTTTTTTATTTCATTAAAACGAGTTTTTTTTTTCTGGATAAACTTGTTAGAAATGTGATTTTTTTCGAAAATATGCTACAATTTATCTATATTATGTTACTATATATATATAATTCTCTTCTGGGATCAGTTAGAAAACAAGCTGCAAGCGCGCCTTTGCAGTCCCCTCTCTTCCTCTCTATCACTATCACTACCACCCCGACCCCACCCCCCACATGATCTGGTGAGCGGTGTTCACTCTGTTTACATTTTACAATCACAGAGACGGGTTTGGTGACGGCTATTAGGGGCAGATAATTTAGTTTGAAACGATTTTAAACTTAAAGGAGGTAACTAAGAGGAGGCTGCTTTCACGTGGGGGGGGGGGGGGGGTAGTGTTTTTAAGCAAATATTTTCAATGGCAGCATTGGTACTGTCGAATTCACAAATTATAAATTACTGAAAACTAGAAAAAAAAACAACTAAATAGCGGCGTATGATACGCAGCGGGTCGGCTCGTATGTCATATTAGTCAGCTTACGAATGTATGGTGTAAGGTGAGGTTATCTTTCTATCTAATTAGGATTATTCGATATTTTAACAATGTTGACATTATACACGGAACATACAAGTATGTTTTTTTTTTGCATTTTCCAAACATGAACAAGCTAAACTACTAATAATCTCATAATGCTTGTGGTTTAAACTTCATTTGGGTGTCATTGGCTCCACAACAATTGTCAGTCTTGTCAGTGTTGCTTTATGTTATATCAAACTTTAGACCTGTATAATTTCAATAGTCGCCCAAGTGTGGGATCCCCAGGGGAAGAGGAAAGTAGGCAGGACAAGGAAATCCTGGAGAAGGACAATAGAAGAGGCAAGGGTTGCCGCGCTTATAAAGAGGGCTGCCCAAAAGCGGGTTCGGTGGAGACGTGTGACGTCAAATGAAAGTAATATTAGGTCATTCATTGTCATCAGCTGATCCGAATGGTCAAGAATTTATCTTCAACCATTTAAATGTGAGCGTGTAAATATCAGTATAATTGCCTTCCAAGCAGTCGATCCGGGTTCGATTCCCGGCTGACGCACATTTTGTATTTGCCTAGATCAGGGGTCGGCAACCGTTTGAGACGGAAGAGCCAAAAGCTACTATTCACAAAATTACCCAGTTTTTAAAGAGCCACAAACATTGTTATGTCAATAGTATAGTCAATAGTATAGTGTTTGTTAAAGATTATATATATATATATATATATATATATATATATATATATATATATATATATATATATATATATATATATATATATATTGTAATTTTAAATAAATAGCTTTAAATGTATGAAATAATCTTATTTGTTTCTGTGTTGAAAGGGGCTATTATAAACGTCACAGTGCTTGAATTTGTTTTGAATTGCTCAAATCTCTCAGTGAAAACATCCTTCATTTTGTTTATAGTAATACTGAAGTAATTCATGTTTATAGTAGCATTGGTTTCATCACGATATTTATATTTCCAGATTTTTCGTAATTAAGTAATTTACCGCTTTCCATGGTTTTAACCAAAAAAGGTTGTTTTTTTTTCGAAACAATCCACCTCTTCAACCAAGGCATATGCTGGGTTTTCCTTCCAGTTTAACATTAAGCTCATTTAGTTTCTTTATGATATCCACCATGAAGTTGAATGTTACAATTCCGAATGGACAATTTAATAGAAAGTACATTGAAATAGGGAGTAACTAAATATTCTAATATATTAGCGAGTGTCAATTGTTTATATTTATTATTATATCTTTCATTACCGACTGTTGCAGAACAATGTTTTTATGAGTTTTAAAAATAAAATACAATAAGCTGAATAGCCGCAACTTGACATCAAAGGAGCCGCATGCGGCTCGCGAGCCGCAGGTTGCCGACCCCTGGCCTGGATCAAAGTTGTATCTCCAAATACATTCAACATTCCTAATCCTGTCGTATACGCAGTTTCAAGTATAGAAGACGTCTTGTAAAAGGGCTAAAATCGTTTTTCACCTGATTGAGTCGCAATTTAGTCTATTTGTTCATCTGTAAACACGATAACTTTAGTACCCTTTTAGTTATTTTTAATTATATTAGTATTTTATCAAAAATGTTCAATCCATTTTTGAGCGATTTCCGAAACACGGAAGTTGTACTTTCTCTACCTCTTTCAGACATTACCACTTCTGTTTTTATTTCTATTTCTATTTCTATTTCTATATGTATATATATATATATATATATATATATATATATATATATATATATATATATATATATATATATATATATATATATATATATATATATATATATATATATATATAACCTTGAAATTTCAAGTTCTTTCAAATCAACAATTAACACTATCAGATGTATAAGCGATAATTGATTCATATTAATATGCTCATTGTTGATAGTCAATATTTCAGAAATAAACCATTTAAATAATTAATAAGAAAACAAAAACTGGCACTTTTAAAGGGGGGGGGGGTGTATGTCTCTGTGTGTGTGTGTGTGTGTGTGTGTGTGTGGAAGGGTGGGGGGTTGAGCAAGAGAAAGAGAGAAGTTGTTAGCCGACGTGGCACTTAATTTTATGTGAATTGTCGGGAGTGGCTGTTTGGGTCATTCGGTCATTGTATCAACAGTGAGGTATGCGGATATTAGTTTATTCTAGGATCATTAAAAGTCCAAATTAACTATTGTGGAAAAAAAAGTAAAATATAGAAAATAGCATGCGTCAGCCGGGAATCGAACACGAATCGACTGCTTGGAAGGCAACCATGCTGACCTTTACACCACGTTCAATTTGTTTTAAACTATGATTTATATATTATGATTATATACTGATTAATTTAACAGTGATTGATTTGAGTATTGGCCTTGCTGTGGTCCTCCATCGATCACGTCACCATCCGGGGGGAGGGGGAAGAAATTTCAACTGGAAATTTCATTTTTGTGTAAGTCAGCTATTGACAATATCAGACGTCAAACAAAGAATTTTGTAGGGTCATCAATAAACCACATTATAACGGGGGGGGGGGGGGAGGGGGAGGGAGGTGGGGTGGAATATAATGATGAAGTGTTGCCATTGATCAAGGCTAAAGGGTGGAGTGGTGTTCAGGAAATAAGGACCACTTTTTATTTTTAAAGTACATTTTGAAACTTGAAACTGAGCTGGTAACTCGCTTAAGGAAGTTTTTCTAAAATTTAATTGTTATAGTTGATTAACCTCATAATGTAATTAAGAAAGGACTTGATGTTTTTTTTTTAAATTTCGATTCGGAGGCATAGTGGGGGTATAGGCTGAGGTGTGACTGCATTATCGGGGATGGAGGACTGACTTTTTGGGACTATGTGTGACAATGGGGGATGGAGGACTGACTGTTTGGTACTGTATGTGACAATGTTTAGTGGGGGCTGACTTTTTGGGACTATATTTCATAATGAAGAGGCTGGAGAGGTGGTTACAACAATTGTTTTAAAAAAAATTATG